CCTCCAGTCAGGACAGGAGGCTCTACTGTACACAGAGGGGGGTGGGGGGGTGGAACAAGCTGCCATGCCTTAGACTTATGAGCTCAAGGATAATCAAACCCACTGGATCAAAACCACAGTGCTGAGCACCCTTGAGGGACAAGGGATATACAGTGTAATATTATAATAGCAGCGTTTTCCTGTATCTGTGTAAAAATGTAAAAATGTGAGCACCTTTAGTTTTCCTCTTCCAGTACACCACGCCAATCACGGCGAACACCAGTCCCAGGACCAGTCCACTGGCTCCCATGATCACCTTATTCCTTTTGGCCTCACGCGCTGCTGGATCTGCACAGGAGACACTTGTTTCGAGTCAAACACGCACTGTGAGAAGAGACCGCCCTCGCCAAGCCCACCAGGTGAGTCTGTGAGTCTGCACTGAGCATCACTCTGCCCTAGAGAAGCTCCATCACGAGTTTAAGCTGCTTTAACAACAGTGCAGAAAGGGCTGTACATTTCAAACATGTGTGATGAAGTTTAAATGACGTTTGTAATGTTTTCAATAATGATAAAAGCAATGAAGTTTTAAATGTTTTAATAATTTTTCCATACAATATAATTGAAGTTTGATCTTCATTTATGATTTCTGTAACAACTATGGGGAGAAATAGGTTTTTTACGATTTTTAACTTCTTGCCCACATGATTCTCTGTCTACAGGTTTAATTATTAGATGGGTCAGTTATCATCTTTGTAGAATATTATACAGGCCTGGGTTGGAAAAAAAGGACTTCTGAACTTATTCAATGAAAAGTTATGAAAGTTTATGAAAATTAAAATCAGGAAAAAGTTTGCTGCACTTAATCATCAAAAAAGAAATCGCTGTCTCATTTCACCGTGAACTCCTACCCCATCTCAGCTTGAGGGTCCCGTCCAGAGCGACGTGGTCCACAGCGCACTCGAAGGTCTCTCCACCCTGCGGGGTGAACTCCAGGTACAGGAGCGTCTGGTAGGTCCAGTCTCCGTCGGAGGCGAAGGACATGGAGGTGAGGTCGCTGGACACCGGCTGGCCGTTCCGCAGCCAGGACACCGCGATCTGCCTGGGGTAGAAGCCGTGGGCGTGGCACACCAGCATGTGGGTGTGGCCTTGGCTGGCCGTCTTGGCGGGGTAGATCTTCACCTCAGGCTTGACTGCGGAGGACGAAGGGGGAGGTGAGAGGAGAAGGCTTGGACACACTAGACACGCACACTCACACAGGGTCTCGGTTACCTGTGGGTAAACACGGTGCAGCTTATGAACTACACAGTGCTAACTAACAGCCTTCAAACTCAGACACATTTTTATGTGTCTATCTGCTGGATGCACACAAAAAAAATCTCTTCCCTTTTTTTCTGTACTAGGTTGATCAGCAATACAAAGATACAAGGTAACTGAATCAATTTGGATAAATTACAGTTGGAATCCTTTTCCAGTAACTGGCAACAAAGAAAGACAAGAAGTGAAATTCTTTTTCAACTTTAATTACTACTATAAATATGTGCTCCTGTTATTGTCCAAGCTTTCTTTATTTGGACAGTTTCCTCCGCTCTTTAAATTGTTTAAAGACAATGCCAGCGGTGCACACTCGTCAACTGTTGTACTCGACGGACGGAACAGATTAGCTCTGTCTTTAAATCAGTTGGACTGGGGAGCGTTCAGCTTTTCAACCCCTGGTGATGATTTTTTATTCGAAGTATCCTGCACGTTAAGGTTTAATCCTCAGTCAGGTACAGGGAGCGCGGCGAAACAGGCACAGACTCTGAACACACTAAAATACCAAATAAAAATAAAAAAACACCACAAAAGCCGCTTCAGTCCGCTTACTCTTTCTGTCCTGCATCCCGCTTGCCATGAGTTGAACATTGTACTTGCAAAATCGGTCTTTATCCGCACTTAGCCTTGCAATGTAGTCCTTCTGTCCGTTCCAGTAGTTGGCCTGCTTCTCTCCCCAGGTGTCGAACCCCACGTATTTGCCCACCGTGGAGTTGAACCTCACGCGCTCCTTCCCGTTGAAAGTCATTGAACGGACATAGACCAGGTCCCGCAGGTCACTGGCGCTGAAGTGACACTCGCTCCTAAAGAAGTACACGAAGTCATCTGGCACGAGAGAGGAGAGAGTCCGGTTCTCAACAAAAATGAGTGTTAATCTGAAGCACACTTAATTCAATCGCACAGTAAATGTAAAATGATTTAGGGCATATTTTAACTTAAGCGATTTTACTTTTCAGCGTCCTCACCCCAAAAAATAATTGTTGTTGTTTTGTTTTTTTAAATTACAACGACAACGTTTTAGAAATAATAGCAGAGCCATACTCGGCGGAGATACATCAGCTGGGACAGCTGATCTCTTGAAGCGTCTCTCGCTCAAACCATTGGAAATAGAGGCGTCGGGACCTTGTATGTCATATTAAGACTCTTGATGATAAGTGTCTGACCCCGGGATACGGCTTGGACGGTACTCACCGGCCCCGGACAGGGTTAGACAAAGTACCAACGCCGAGCAGAGAAGCACCAGTCTCATCTTCACTCGAGCCGGGAGCGCAGAGGCAGTGGAGGAGGCTTCTCGACGGCCGTCCTGAAGAAGCGGGCTAACAGGCGAGCGGCCAATGGCAAGACTGCAAGTCAAGCCGTCACTCCTATCCAGGCAAGCCAGTCAGACAGGAGAGGCTTCCGTTCTGCACGCTGCTGACACACTTTGCCTACGAAGTAAATCCGTGACAAACCATTACCGAACTGCTAAAACGTGACAAAACTATCGTCTGGTTTTTTTTTAAATGGACATTTCATGACCCGATAGCTCGTTTTTCCTTCTTAAAATTAGAAATTTGAAGCACTAAACATTTAACAGTGACGAGCATCGCTGCCTCACATCTCTGTGGCCCTGAATTCAATTCCGGACCTGGGGTGCTGTCTGTGTGGAGTCTGCATGTTCTCTCTGAGTTCCTGTGTGATTCCTCCAGGTGCTCCAGTTCCTCCCACAGTCCACAGACTGGCTGGGGGGTTAATGGGCTTCTGGGAAAACTGGCCCTGGTGTGAATGTGTGTGCGTCAGTGTGTGAGTGTGTATGTTTGAGTCTGTGTGTGTCCTGTGTTGGACTGGTGTCCAGTGTTGGACTGGTGTCCTGTGAGGGGCTGGTGTCCTATGGTGGACTGGAGTCCTGTCCAGGAGGTACCCTGCCTTGTACTGGTTACTTGCATTTAATTTTTATCAGTATTTGAACCTTGTGAAGAGAGCTTGGCGTTCTGTTGCTGTTAGGAACTCTGATTTCCTGAATAGAGAATCCCTCGGTTAATAATGGCCTCTCCTGGTTCCATTTTGTAGCACCCGAGTGTACAGATAGAGAGATTTGACCAGAGGCTGTATTCAGTCTGGTTTAGACGCCAAAGTGCCATATATAGCCAGCAGCCATATCACTCTGCAACTTATAATTGGCCACCCACTGGAGCCCAGCAGGGGGCGCTCTCACCCAGCTCACAGCCCCCTGGAGCCCAGCAGGGGGCGCTCTCACCCAGCTCACAGCCCCACTGGAGCCCAGCTGGGGGAGCCTGGCCAGTACCTGGAGGGGAGACTCCTGGGAGAGGTGTGAGTGGGGCCAGCAGGGGGCGCTCTCACCCAGCTC